CCATCACATCATTCTCCTAATGATGTGATCCCGTTATCAACGACATCCAATGTCCATAGCCAGGAAACCATGACTATCTGTTGATCACAACGAGCTAGTCAACTAGAGGCTCACTAGGGACATATTGTGGTCTATGTATTCACACGTGTACTACGATTTCCGGATAATACAGTTATAGCATGAATAAAAGACAATTATCATGAACAAGGAAATATAATAATAATACTTTTATTATTGCCTCTAGGGCATATTTCCAACATTTTCTTGGTACGACAACTTATGGAGAGATACAGGGAGCAAAAAAAGGACTTGCATATGGTGTTCATTGACTTGAAGAAGGCCTATGATAAGATCCCGCGGAATGCCATGTGGTGGGCCTTGGAGAAACACAAAGTCCCAGCAAAGTACATTACCCTCATCAAGGACATGTACAATAATGTTGTGACAAGTGTTCGAACAAGTGATGTCGACACCGATGACTTCCTGATTAAGATAGGACTGCATCAGGGGTCAGCTTTGAGCCCTTATCTTTTTGCATTGGTGATGGATGACGTCACAAGGGGTATACAAGGAGATATCCCATGGTGTATGTTCTTTGCGAATGATGTGGTGCTAGTTGACGATAGTCGAACGGGGGTAAATAGGAAGTTAGAGTTATGGAGACAAACCTTGGAATCGAAAGGGTTTAGCCTTAGTAGAACTAAAACCGAGTACATGATGTGCGGTTTCAGTACTACTAGGTGTGAGGAGGAGGAGGTTAGCCTTGATGGCCAGGTGGTACCTCGGAAGGACACCTTTCGGTATTTGGGGTCAATGTTGCAGGAGGATGGGGGTATTGATGAAGATGTGAACCATCGAATCAAAGCCGGATGGATGAAGTGGCGCCAAGCTTCTGGCATTCTCTGTGACAAGAGAGTGCCACAAAAACTAAAAGGCAAGTTCTACAGGACGGCGGTTCGACCCGCAATGTTGTATGGCGCGGAGTGTTGGCCGACTAAAAGGCGACATGTTCAACAGTTAGGTGTGGCGGAGATGCGTATGTTGAGATGGATGTGTGGCCACATGAGGAAGGATCGAGTCCGGAATGATGATATACGAGATAGAGTTGGGGTAGCACCAATTGAGGAGAAGCTTGTCCAACATCGTTTGAGATGGTTTGGGAATATTCAGCGCAGGCCTCCAGAAGCTCCAGTGCATAGCGGACGGCTAAAGCGTGCGGAGAATGTCAAGAGAGGGCGGGGTCGACCGAATTTGACATGGGAGGAGTCCGTTAAGAGAGACCTGAAGGATTGGAGTATCGAGAGCTAGCTATGGACAGGGGTGCGTGGAAGCTTGATATCCATGTGCCAGAGCCATGAGTTAGTTGCGAGATCTTATGGGTTTCACCTCTAGCCTACCCTAACTTGTTTGGGACTAAATGCTTTGTTGTTGTTGTTGTTGTTGTTGTTGTTGTTGTTGTTGTTGTTGTTGTTGTTGTTGTCTGCTGAGCTCATAATGCTTGCATCTTCCTAGTGTTCTACTCAGTGCGCGTCAGCTTTTTATTTTATTCTCTACTTCTTATTTTTGAAGATTGACAATGGGAAGTGGTTAAAGCATCTACAGCCAGACTTGGCAAATCCAGCCCCTCAAACGCCCGCGGGCGCGTCCGCAGACAGTGACCGGACACGTCTCATATTTCCTTTCCACATACAACTCTCTCATATTCACCCTGTAAATCCATACAAAATCATGTAGAATATATATAGCTACGTACTACGATCTATACTAATCAAATTTGGTCGTTGTCGTAGATGGCCTGAGTCGCCTGGGCCACCTGCGTCGCCTTCATCTGTTGCCGACGGCGACTCCTTGCCTCCGCAGCCGACTCCGAGCGGATAGAGCTCAGGATGGTGTGCTGCTCCGGCCACACACCCACGTCCTCTTCCTCACCCACATCCAGCTTCACGCGTCTTTCTCCGCGCGGCTCCTGCTCCTCCTCCTCTTCCTCCTCTGCCGGCACCTCCTCCTCCACCTCCTCCACGTCATCCTCCTTCTCAGCTTCAGTATTTGAGTGGCTCGGCCTATGCTCTAGCCAATCCTCTCGTTGATGTTTGATTCCGCTCATCATCCTATGTGCTAATTTGGCCGTGAAAATTCCCTTTCGATCATAATGCCATCTCCAAAGATCATGTTGTACCCAAGAACTTAAAGTGATGTTCAGAATAACATCCACATCCAGTTCAATAAAGTGCTCGTCAACACTTGTCTGTCCCATGATCGAGTGGTTGTATCAATCAGCTCTGAAACTAACTGTGGCGGATCGACAAAGATGGGCATATAGGTTTTAACTTATAATCCCACGGCGGCCAGTTGTCTTCCCAAATGCGTGTCTCCGACCCCGCCAAAGCAAGCACTACTTTTCCTTCCATCAGCGAGCGGCCAAACCTGGGAAGGTTGTGCGCCAATAGTTGCATCCAGTATGTTACCTTGAGGGTAATATCTAGCTCGCAGAACTCATGCACTTAAGGACTCCGAGTCTTGAGTAAACGCCAAACTTGATGTGCTAGTAAAGCTAGGTTAAAGAGCTTAATGTCCCGGAATCCAATCCTCCCATGTTATTTGGTTTACCCATAGTTTTCCAAGAAACCCATGCCGGTGTTCTCTGGCCTTGTTTACTCCCCCGCCAAAACTTCTTGAGAAGACTATTTATGTGTTCAGTTAGGCCCTAACAAAGCTTGAAACATGACATTGAATATGTCGGGATGGATTGTGCAACTGATTTGATCAAAACTTCTTTCTCCCCTGCTGATAAACATTTCTCCATCTATCCTTGAATATGTTTCCAAATTATGTCCTCTAGATATATGAAACTTCCTTCCTTGTTCTTTCCTACATCCGTTGGCGGGCCCAAGTATTTCTCCTATAAAGATTCGTTCTGTACATCCAAGGCATTCTTTATCTCACTCCGTGTTGCCTCTGGTACACCTTTGCTAAAGTAAATCGAAGACTTTTCTATATTGACACGTTGGCTCGAAGCATCACAGTACATTCTCAGAATATCCCAGACTCGTACTGCACTCTCACTGTTCGAAAAACAGAAGATTGTCGTCTGCAAAGAGTAAATGATTAACTTCTGGAGCTGAGCCTAGCACTGACAGTCCTTGGATACCACCACCTCACGCCTTTAAGAGACATGAGAGACCTTCAACTGCAAGTAAGAATAAATACAGGGAGATAGGATTCCCTTGTCTCATGCCCCTCGTTGACCTGGAATTATGCAGACTGCGACCATTAAACAGAACTAAAAATGTGACTGATGAAATACATCTCATTACCGTCTCGTAAACCGTGGGTTGATGCCCATCTTTAGCATAACTGCCTTGAAGTAAGGCCACTCCAGTTGATCATATGCTTCCATCATATATAGCTTTAGGGCAACAAAACAATTACTTTTAACTCTCCTCGATTTCATGTAGTACAAGCATTCATAAGCTGTTATAAAATTATCAGTGATAAGACGTCCAGGCACGAAGGCCGACTGCTCCTCAGAAATTACGTCAAAGAGAATGATCTTCAGCCTATTGGCTAAGACCTTTGACGCAATCTTATAGACCACATTGCAAAGACTTATAGGCCAAAATTGTCCTAGAATTTTTGGACTAACGATCTTGGGAATAAGAACGATGAACGTGCGGTTGATATCCTCCGGTGAGTCATCTCCATTGAGCAATATGATAATCATACCAGTAATCTCTTCACCACACAGATCCCAATGTATCTGAAAAAATGTGCAGGAAAACCATCGGGATCCGGTGCTTTTGTTGGGAACATCTGAAAGAGAGCATCCTTGACATCCCTGACTTCCCCTTTAGTGTACCAGTATCCTCCGGTGAGTCATTTCACTTGGTCGATTGCTTTCGTTCGCATCGTCACACCGGCTGAGCTGGGAGACGGTCCACGGTCACCAGAAAAGGCCCACAAAGCCCAGCTGTCCTCTGTCGACTGGGCCGTCCGTTTAATACTAACTACTTACTCCCTCCGGTCATTTCTTGTTCGCATATACAATTTGTCTAAAGTCAAACCTCGTAAACTTTAACCAAGTTTATATAGAAAAAAAATATCAACATTCAGAACGTGAAATCAATAACATTAGATGCGTCATGATTTTAGTTTTTATATCGTATAAACTTAGCACTTTAGATGTTGGTATATTTTCATATAAATATGGTCAAACTTTACGGTTTGATCTCAGTACGCAGAGTAAAAACAAAGTGAGAAGGAATTAATAACTGGCAGGCAGCGAGAGAGAGAGAGAGGGAGTATTCATAGTTCATACTCTCCCTGTCCTCTTCTTCCTTCCTTCCACCACTTCTTCCTCGAAGGTTCTCGTCCGCTCCCTCCCTCTCGCACCGCCGGAGGGAGGCGCCGCCCCCTCGCCCCGTCCGGCCGCCGGCAGGCAACCCCAGCCTCCCCTCCCGGTCCGGCCCCGCGCCGCGCCGATCTCGCCGGAATCGATCCCGGCCGGTGACGGCCCCCCTCGCCGGATCCAGCGCCGCCACGCCAGATCCAGCGCCGGCGCGCCCTAGAGACCCGCGGCAGCTCATCTCGGTGCCGCGCCAGCGTCCGCGTCGTGCCGCACCGTCGGAAAAGCCTCCTCCCGCGTCCTGCGCCAAGCCTCCTCCGACTCGGGGGGCGCCACCGCGAGCCTCCTCCGACTCGGGCGCCGCGAGCCGCCCTACCGGGAGCAGCGCCGGTGTCTCCTGCTCGACAACGCCATCGCCTAGGGTATTTTTTTTTTTTGCCTGTCTCAGTCCTATCCCATGCGGTCTGTGAACTTCAGAAGCATCTGTGCAGATCAATTAGTGTACTGTGTATTCACTGTCTCAATGCCAGATAGATCGAATGTTTGCCTACATGGGACAAACATAGATCAATTAGTGGCTATCAACTCCGCATCACCACCACTAACAGCAGTGTATTTTGTGCAGAAACAGATCTTGGGGGGTTGACCTGAGCCCTCCATGGTGCGCGGCAAGTCCGACCGGGGGGACACGTCGGTGGTCGTCGTCGTCCTAGAGACAAATGAGGTGTACATTGTGGCGAGCCTGTCGACAGCAGGCGACACGCAGGTGATCTGCGTCGACCCCACCACGGGCGCCCTGCGCCACCAGGGGAAGCAGGGGGAGGACCTCTTTGATTCCGAGGCGGCTGCTCTGAAACACATCACCAACGGGTCGAGATTCTTATCCAAGAGCACCACATATGCCAAAGCCGTGCTGGGCTATGCCGTGTTGGGGAGTTATGCTCTGCTTCTCGTTGCGACGCAGCTCAGTGCGACGGTCCCACGGCTACCTGGAGGCGGGTGTATATATACCGTGGTGGAGAGTCAATGGGTAAAGATTCAGCTGCAGAATCCTCAGCCCCAGGGAAGTGGAGAGCTGAAGAATATCAAGGATTTGGCTGATCTTGACATTGATGGTAAGTACTACTTTTGTGAAACGAGGGATATCACTAGGCCGTTTCCAAGTCGGATGGCTATTCAGGAACCAGATGAGGAATTCGTGTGGAATGCGTGGTTGTCAAGGCCTTTCAAGGACATTGGTTTGCTGGGGCACTGTGTCATTCTTTTGCAGGGCTTTGCAGAGTGTCGCAATTTTGGAGCTACAGGGCAGCAAGGTGGGGTAGTTGCTCTCATTGCACGCCGCAGCCGGCTACATCCTGGAACCCGCTATTTGGCTCGTGGGCTGAATGCATGTTCTGGCACCGGCAATGAGGTGGAGTGCGAGCAAATTGTTTGGGCCCCTCAAAAAGGTGGGCAAGTAATACCTTTTAACTCGTATATCTGGCGGCGTGGGACTATACCAATATGGTGGGGTGCAGAAATAAAGAATGCTGTGTCAGTTGAGGCCGAGATTTATGTTGCTGATGATCCTTACAATGGGACCTTGCAATACTACCAACGGCTGGGTCGAAGATACGGTAATAAATCATCTGAAGTCAATGCTACGAGTAATAAGAAGAAACCTGGAATGGTTCCCATTGTGTGTGTTAACTTGCTAAGATATGCTGAAGGAAAACCGGAGACAATTCTAGTTGAACATTTCAAAGAATCTCTGAAGTACCTGAAGTCTACTGGCAAGCTTGGAAACACCTGGATTCAGTTGATAAATTATGACTGGCATGCCACTGTGAAGTTAAAAGGACAACAACAGACAGTTGAGGGCCTCTGGAGGCACCTTAAAGCACCAACAATGGCCATTGGCTTCAGTGAAGGGAATTACTACAGTGTAAAACAGCAGCTTAACGAATGCAAGGGATCAATTATCTGCAATGATGATGGTGGGTTCTGTATGCATAATATTCAAAATGGTGTGGTACGTTTTAATTGTGCAGATTCTCTTGATCGCACCAATGCTGCTAGCTATTTTGGGGCGCTTCAAGTTTTTGTCGAACAGTGTAGTCAACTTGGTATTTCCCTTGATATAGATGCTATGTTTGGCTTATCGACAAGCAGAAATTCTGAGTATAACGGTCGGAGTGCTCGTTCTTTGCCCCCTGGATGGGAGGAACGCTTTGACTCTGTAACAGGTAAATCATTTTATATCGATCATAATACACGTACTACCTCATGGGAGCATCCATGCCAGGAAGCTCCACAAAAGCGCTGGAAGAGATTTGATATGACATTTGAGCAGTTCAAGAGCTCAACAATGCTTGCCCCAGTGAACCACCTTGCTGAAATTTTTCTTTTGGCTGGTGATATACATGCCACGTTGTACACTGGCTCAAAAGCTATGCACAGCGAGATTCTAAACATATTCAAGGAGGAGACTGGAAAGTTCAGTAAATTCTCTGCTGCTCAGAATGTCAAGATTACACTGCAAAGAAGGTTCCACAATTATATGAATGATAGCTCTCGTCAAAAACAGTTTGAGATGTTTCTTGGATTGAGGCTATATAAGCATCTCCCATCCATCCCAATTTTCCCTCTCAAAGTAGGTAAACTTATTCATTATCTGCATCTTATTTACAAAGTTCACTTTACCAATCTTTATTTCAGTTATGTATAGGATAGCCGGTTAGTCAATTCTCTGCATGAACTATCCAAACATGCTATTCTAACTTAACTAGAACTTCTAGAATACATTATCAGTTTCCGCAATTAGATTGAAACAATTTGCTAGTTAAAACGCAGATTTCCCTGAGTTTTAGTTGACTTAGAATTTCCCTGCACTGTTGTTCGAGAGAATAATTCCATGCACTGTAATGATCAGATTTAGCGACATGCCAATTGATAATTTATTTCTACTCCCTCCGTTTTAAAACACTTTAAGTTCTTTGTCCTAAGTTGAACCTCTTTAAGTTTGACTGAGTCCATAGAAAAACATACCAACATCTACAACATCCAAGTAGTTTCATTAGATTCAACATAAATATATTTCCATACTATATATAGTTGATGCTGTAGATGTTCATGTTGATATATTTTTCTATAGATTTTGTCAAACTTAAAGATGTTTCACTTAGGACAAACTTAGAACTTCAAATATTTTGCAACGGCAGAAGTACTTCTCATTTTCACCACTAACCAGCAGTGCATTTCCCTTCAACGCACCCTACTCTTATTTTGCAACTGAAAGGAAATTCACTGCTGGTTAGGGTGAAAATGAGATGTACTTCCTCCGTGCCAAAATAGCAAGGTTCACCAGAGTTAGAGAAAACTAGAAACTCATTCATAGGGAAGAAATCGTTGATCTTAAACTATATCTAGAATTTAAACGCTAGTAATTGTTAAGTTTTTTACTATAGTCTATAACTCAAGAGCCAAGACAGCTGTCTAAGAAGAATTTTTATTCATTGGCTTAATACTGTTGAAGTGTATATGTGAATTGCCTAGTCCTTTCCATCAGTTTGGACTTCTGGTTGCGTTGGCTAGTGCATGAAGCTTAACATGGTATCGGAGCCTAAGGTCTTGAGTTCAAGTACTACCGAGGCCATCTGTTACTTTTCTTACTTTTGACTTCCATCTTTGTGTTGAACATGCTTGATGTTGATAATTCAGGTACTATCGAGACCATCTGGATGCATGTTGAAACCAGTTCCTTGTATCACTCCAATGGCTGATGGTGGTTCCAGTCTTCTCAGCTTCAAAAAGAAGGATATTGTTTGGGTATGTTGCTTATTTATATAGTTCCTTTTGAGTAATATATCCTGATAGTGACCTGATTTATTTGAATTGGGGGATAGCTATGGTGTATTAAATACTTCGTCCCTAACAAATCCCACCACACCCATGGAATATGACTAGTTGATGTCTTGAAGAGTCTGAAACTCTGAATTGTGTAATATAAAAACATGTGGAGTACTTAGTCACATCTCAGTGTTTCCTATAACATGCTAAGGTCTCTTGATCATGCAGGTATGCCAGCAAGGTGCAGACTATGTTGAGCTTTTTATATACCTTGGAGAACCTTGTCATGTTTCTCAGCTTCTTCTTACTGTTTCCCATGGGGTTGAAGATTCTTCATATCCAGCTACTGTAGATGTCAGAGTTGGCTCCAGCATAGATGCCCTTAAGCTTGTTGTTGAGGTTTGTCTTCATCTTGCTGTTATATTCTTAATATTTTATTTTATGCCAGGTAGGCTCATTAATTTCGCTTTCATAGCAAGATGGCTCACTTTTAGGATTAGGCTTGATGAACTGACATGTGTACACAGTGTCAAGACTGGGTGAACTGGGAACGCATAAAAAAATGCAGTCCTTGCTAATATTGAGCCTCATCAGATGCACCACTCAAGTTTTGGGTTTATGCCAACATGCTATGTTGCAATTCTGACAATCTGAACTTGAGGCATGATGCCTGGTTTTAAGCCAAAACCAAACAGTGTACCCCTTAACTTTGGCTTAGCTGTGCTAACTTCTTTTACAGCATGAGTATCCCTCTAAAAGGGACCCTTGAACCTTGACGCCAAAAAATAATGTGAAAATATGTCATGACTACATCCAGATATGCACAATTCAAGAACAGAGAACTTCAAAAGATTCTGATGGCATCCTTGGATGTGACAATGGTAACTCAGCCAAAGCCAAGTATTGTTAGTGAAAAAAACAGTCCTCTGAAAAATAAAAGCCATGGCGAGTTACTGACCACACTTTAAAATGATTATAAGAGATCCAGCAAAATGGTGATGTTGAGTCCTGTGGTGCATGGTAATTAGTACTGCCATCAACTATGCAATCATTGCGATCGCATTAATCTCTACTCAAATATCCTTCTTGACTCTTGATATAATGAAAGTACTTTTAGTTTGGTGACTTTGGCACATTTAGCATTAAAAGAATGGATCAAATTCAAAGAAGTAAACATAGAATCTTAGTTGATCAAATTATGCATTTAGAAAACTGGGGTAACAAGACTCTGACATTGTCTTACAGTCTTGACCTTAGTCCCACAACTAATGCGAACCGAGTCAAAATTGTGATTTGCATGTGATAATGCGATATGTGGACTAGCCAGTTAAGAGTCACAATTAAGAAAAACGATGAACGATCTAACGAAATGGTGACGTGAAGTCCTGTGGCACATAGTGTAAGCACTAGTCTCCACTCTACATTCAGATACCTTTGTGAACACTCACAATACTTCCAAGTTTTGTGCATTTGGCCCATTATGCCTAAGAAGAATGTCAATGAATTCAGGTAATAAAACATTGCATCTTTGGTGAAATTAAGCATTTTAATTGACTGAATAAGAGAATTGGCAAAACAAAACTTTGACATTGTCTTACAGTCTCCAGCCCAGTTCCACAACTATAGGGAAGTCAGTTAACATTGCGATTTGCCTGTGGCCATGCAATATATTGCCTATATTACAGTGGTAGAGCGCTGCCATGCCTGCAAGGTACCCCCTCCTGTAAGTGAGAAAGAAGCCCGTAGGATGTTGGCAGGCACCACTGCCAGTTCATATAAGAGGGTGCTTGGTTCATTGCACAAGCATATAACCTATCTTAATGGGCCAGGCTGAGACTAATTGTTGGTAGGCTGTCCAGAAGAAAGCCTGAATGGATAGATGTATGCCATTACTTAAGCCGGACTGCTGTCCCATTATTAAAGATAAAGATAAAAACGTAGGGCCTGTTTGGTTGCTACCCTGGTGCAAAGCTGCCTGGCCTGGTGCTTGCCTGAGACCTGCCTGTACTTTGTTTGGTTCGAGTCCTAGAGATCCGATAGCAGCCTGGCCTGGAAAAGTGGAGTGCGTCATTAGCCTGGCCGTAAAACCTGATCTCGTCGTTAGCCTGGTCCAGGCGACCGGAACCAGACGCCTGGACGTGCCTGGGATGCCAATCCTCTTGTTCAATTTAAAATAGCAGGAAGTACAGATGAACAGTGACCTGATTTAATATATTTAACACCCCCAGTCCTGGACAGGAACCAAAAAATCCTCGCCTGGCCAGGCAGAAAACAACTGACATCTCAGGCGCTGTCCAGGCACTCGACTTTTTCAGGCATCAGCTCCAGGACGTCAACCAAACATGCCCGTAATCCCTTCAACCTCTAAGCCCCCTAGAAATCATTGGCATTGGTTGGGCTCTGCTGTCAGAGGGGTGTGTGGAGGAAAACCGCTAGCTTCCAATATCCAAACAAAACATAAACACTTGATCAGAATCTGGTGGCTTGCGGCAACTGTGCGATGGTTCCTTTGGTGCAAGTGCACTTGTTGCCAGTTCAATCTGAAAGTTCATTTAAGGTGGATGTCGCCTTAGTACCTGTGGGATGTAGGACTAAAGAAGGGTGGTAACAGCACTGGGTTTTGTACATGGGCTGCCAGTGCCCTCTATTCGGCCTGCAGCGGGTCCATCCAGCCACTGCTACTGCTGCGGGCTGTACTAGGTTCAAGACCTTGAGCTGCTATGGTGTTGTGTTGCAAGAAGTTCAAAGCAGCTATAGCGCTAGAACCTGTAATCCCTAATGTTCCTTTGATCTTTCATGAATAACTAATAGTATCCCTGTTTCCAAAGAAAAAGTCCCAAGGCCTAATCTGCTTGTAAAAGAGATAATCTTGTGATTTACTTTCCTTTTTCTGTTGCATAAATTAATTTTATTTAATTTAGAAATGTAAATATAGGCATCATATGAACTGGTATGGCCTGATAATTACATACTTTGGACTCTCCGATAGTAGCAAGGTCCAATCAGAAGCACAATTGGGACAGACAAACGCAAAGTCAAGCTCAGCTAATCTGAGCATGGCTTTGATTTTGGCTAACATCTATTGCGTAGATCCTGTAATTTCCAAAAACTACTCTATTTCTCTACCTATTATAGGTTTATCTGTGCACATGAGCCCATGCTCAATGCTCGTGATACTTTTTTATTTTCATCAGTTTACTTGCTACTCTGACCTTTCAGTGTGTGATATTTATTTCTGTATGAATTCCAATTAAAGCACGTGGATGCGTTGAACTATTCTTAATGTTTGAGGAACTCTTTGTTTTAAGGCAGTTTTTTGTTTTATACTATCTGAATCAGGGTAAGGCGATCTGATACTATACGGTGCTTATTTGCTGCATGCTAGCTCTTTGCAGTTTACATCTTTTGATCAAATGATTACATTTGTTCCCTGCTACTGCTTATCTTTCTGCAAATCATGTGTAGCCAGCTAATGTGTAACTAACTGCAAGTTCACTTGTTTAGGGCGCTTGCATACCCCAGTGCTCGAATGGGACAAATTTGTTGATCCCTCTCACTGGAAGAATTCATCCAGAGGACTTGGCTGTTACAGGCAATAGTGCTCGACCGGACGTTCAAGAGAGCACTTATCTTCCGTTGTTATACGACTTCGAAGAGCTGGAAGGAGAAGTGAACTTTCTAAATCGGGTTGTCACATTATCTTTTCATCCTTCTCCCATGGCGAGAACAGCCATCACACTTGGTGAGGTAAAAGTTGACAACCATCTGGATGTTGATGTATTAAGAAGCAGCTCTTAACAATTGAACTATTTCGCCTCTGTATATTTATTTTATTAGATGAGTAATCTTCTGAAACAGATTGAAGTACTTGGTGTTTCTCTTCCATGGGTGGATATGTTAACCAATAGCAAAGGTGTTGCTCAAGTTTTGGAGCTCCTCCATGAAAAAGCATATACTCCCCGCGATCTAGCTTTGAAAAATATTGCAGATTCTTCCTCTCCTGGTAATGCTGTTCACGGTAGTGAGAGGAGTTATACTAGAAGTTCATCATCAGTTCAACCTGGTGGTTCAGGAAATTTTGTGGATTTTCTCACGGGTGATATCGACGTACCGAACCAATCAAAAAACACTGGAAATACATCTTTTGGTAATGAGGATCAGACGAACTTCTTTGATGATGAATTTGACGTCAACCCTTTTGCCACTGCATCAGAAGAGCCTGTTGCTGAAGTCAATAACCATGTTGAAGATTGTGGCAGTACACAGTTTTATCTCGAGTTTTTGGAGTCACTTTCTCAAAATAATAAGGTATTTTTGTTGTTCTTTTCCTATCCTCTCGTTCATTGATAGATTTTCCTTAAACTGGTGTTGAGCTAATTTTATTTACAAGTAATATCTGAAATTGGTACTCTCATCCAATGGTGGTTTATTTAGAAGGTTATAGCATCTAGAAATGACTTGACTGAAACTGAGAAAAGACCCTGCCAACTTATGATTATGAGCTCATTATATGTACATTATATATTGGACCTGGCACTGCTTAGTTGCCATGCTTTATATACTCATCCTGTTCTCATTAATGATTACCTATTTCTAAACAAGAACAAAAACTATTTTATTAACAGATTTGTTTATATAAGTTTAAATGAGGATCTTAGAGATGTAACTCTTATTCATCTTTTCAGGGAAAGAGCCTTAACTTTGAACAAAGGATGAAGCTTGAAATAAAACGTCTTTATCTTGATCTTTCTGCTGCCGAAAGGGACCGGGCATTGTTATCGATTGGTGTAATTCCTGCCACGGTAGATCCAAATCGTTCAGTTGATTACTCTTACCTGTTGAAGTTATCCAGCCTTACTGACAAGCTAGCATTGCTGGGGCATTCTGTCTTCGAGGATCGTGCTAATGCTTCAATAGGGCTCGAAAAGGTCAATAGCCATGCTGTAGACTTTTGGAATATCAGTGAAAATGGTGAATCATGCTCTGGTGGGGCATGTGAAGTCCGTGTTGTATCTTCGTTACAAGCTTCAGCTACTAGTGGAAATACATCACTATTCGTGGAGTGTTCCCAGTGCGAAAGGACAGCTTGCAAGGCTTGCTGTGCTGGGAAAGGGGCCTTCCTTTTGCTTGGCAACACTTACAGAGATCTGAAGATATATGGTGGGAATCAAGGTGGTGGCTATTCAGCCCTCGCAGATAGTTCTGTGTGCAAATCATGCTGCAATGAGATGATCAAACAAGCACTGTATGTCGATTATGTCAGGGTTCTTCATAGTATGAGAAGAAAAGGTCGTGCGGAGAAAGCAGCACTGAAAGCAGTGAATCAGGTCTGCCAACTTGAGCCCAATAGAATATCGGATTCAGTACATAGTGTTCAATCTGGTCTGAGACAATTGAAGCAGCTCCTTGATGATGAAGAATCTCTTGCAGAATTTCCACATGCAAGCTTTTTACATACGGTATTCCTCGACATTGATCTATTAACTTCTACCCTTTACTGTCTGCTCTGGTGCTGCCACTTTGTATCTATATGACTCTGCTGCATCTGCAATACTGTTGCACATGGACCGTGGAAAGATACTAGACACTCAAATGCACTACCCTTGAGCCTAACATTATCTTTTCAAAATAAATCTTTTCTTTTTGTCAGAAGCTGTATCGTATTGTCCCTGCTCTGTATTGCTTTGCCACAGGGTATTGCTTTGATTCTGCCGCGTTGTTTTATTTTTCCAGGTAGAAACTGCTGATGACTCTGCTCCACTGTTTTCATTGCTGGCACCACTTGGTAGTGGAGTGCACAAGTCCTACTGGAAAGCTCCACAAGGCAACACATCTGTGGAGTTCCCGATTGTTCTTGGCGGTATATCAGATGTTTCAGGAGTTGCAATAATTGTCAGTTCCTGTGGTTACTCAACATCTGATTGCCCAATTGTAAGATGTACTTCCGATCTTGGTTCTTTTTTCTGGGATCCATGGTTTGTCTACATTAGTATAAAAAATTATGTTAGCGAGATTGTTATAAATGGGAACTCCTAGATATACAATTTTCTTGGTAAATTTAACAAAAAGGGCATTTAAAACGAAGTCAGTGAAATCATTGTTGTCTTCAGTGAAGAAGTCCTATATAGCTTAATCAAATGCATTACCTTTCAGAGCAAGAGAAGGAAAACATTTTCCAGCTTTATTCTTGAGCGAGCTCCATGTTGATGGAAGAGAAATAATGCAATAGTATTCTCTTCCTCTCCTGAATTTCATTATACCAAAACATATATATCAGTTGCCTTAAGATACTTCACGCTTAGCTTAGTTATTTCATGCACTATGAATCCAAGAAATAGGCAAAGGAGAAACACGCAAATTGGAAAAAGAATCCCAATGTTGCAGAGTGGATGCACAAATTCTATTTTCGTAGCTGAAGTGCTCAGTTTGGGCATTGCAACTAATAGTTGATTTTTTATGGGATGTACTTGAAGTACTTTACATCATTTAAGCTTGGAGATGTCTGCATCACTTGACCCTTTGACATACCTGTGTGCCTTGATAGTAGAGAGCTGTTATTGAACTGATTATTGCTTCTTGTTTCTTGCTTCTATACTTCTAAACAAAGTATAAAAACTCTTCATTTGCAGTAAATTGCTAATTTTACTGTCAGTTCTTTGTAGCTTGGTATTTTGGTTGTTGAGTTTGTTCCGTGCGTACTTCATAATTGCTCTTTAAGCACTTCAACGTTTGACAGCACCATAATTTGCTCTTATGCTCTTACTATCAGTTCTTTGTAACAACAGTCGCGATCTCTGCAAATTTGTTTTCGTGGCTGTGTGGACACCACCATAATTTTATGACAATGACATGTTTTTTTGTAGAATTAACACTGATGCAAATTATCTAGTTTGTTGACGATATCCTGGTCTGAAATTAACAAAGTGCCCTAGTGCTGTAGACATCTTTTTCATATGTGGCAGAGTTAGCTACCTATGTAAACAAGAGTATTTGAACTAACCAACTGGCTAATTTCATTTCCCTTGTTTCATATAGCGCAATATTGACCTCATATGCTGATATTTGTGCTGCCTGTGCAGGTGGAGATATGGGCTAGTAATAAAATACAGCGAGACGACCGGACATTCGTAGGAAAGTGGGACGTGCAAAGTATGATAGTGTCATCTCCACAGCTTTATGGACCAGAAAATTCGGGTAGCTTGGATGAGGCACCAAGACACTTTAAACTACACTTCCCAAATCCTATCCGTTGTCGCATAATTTCAATAAAAATGACACTTCCCCAAATTGGTTCTAGCTCAACCAAGTTTAATGAAGACTTTAGTGATCTTTTATCATTGGATGAAAGCTCATTTATTGATTCTAAGGCAAACAATTCACATAACTCATTTATCCATGCAAAAAGGATTGTTGTTTTCGGTAGCTCTTTGCCCAAGGAAATGGGTCCTGACACATCTGTGGCAATAATGAGGATGAGAAGTTACGTAGATGGATCACCATCGTTTGGCAGATTTAGGGTAAACCCTGTCTTTTTACTGAGCACTTTTCAGCTCTATTTCGAACTATGGCTAAGATTTTCCCCTCCTATTTTTCAGATTCCGGTTGAGGCTGAGAGGTTGAGAGACCACGATCTTGTTCTTGAGCAATATCTCTTGCCTAATTCGCCTGGAATAGCTGGATTTCGCCTTGATTCCTTTGGTGTTATAAGACCTCGTGTAACCCATTCACCTCTGCCATCAGAGTTAGATATGAAGGAGTGTTCATTGATACGTATGGAAGATAGACACTTAAATCCTGCAATTCTTCATATACAAGTTACAGTTGTTAAGGTAATAAGGCACTGGCTATGTGGTCAAGCTCACTTGATTTAGCGACTAAAATTGACACTTATCTGGTTCTTTTGCTCTCTTTATATTTTTGTTTTTGAACCATGGGAACTTTCATGCTTGTGTAATTTATCACTTCCTATTCTGTCTTTACAGCATTCTCATCGTTCTTGGAAACTTTTTTTGGGGTGAAAAGGTTAAGGAAGTCAAATTTTGATGTTGTTAAAAATTGAATTTGAGATTTAAGTAGGGCCATTTTGGATTGTAGAATTTTCATAGCACTGCAATTCATAGGAGTCTTTCATACAAATGTCTTTGGGATCAATGTAATGATGCTACCAAATTCCAATGGATTTGTTTCCCATGCCTTAATTGCACGGGAACTTTAATACCACTCCAACCTCTTTTATACACACTAGGTTGCCTAGGATCGAGGTCATTTACCTGTGTTCTGTCCAAGCGACTATCATCTAATTTTCCCGTGTTTTGCAATCCTTTGCACTTGGATTCCTGCCCCAAACTCCTGCCGTCCTGCGTTTTTCATTCCTGCAATCCAAAGAAGGGTAACACTAGCAACTGGAGCTTGGCCAGTTCCAGTTTCTCAGCCAATAACCTCATGTTTCTTGGAACCCTGATATAGCTATACCCTGATTGAACATAATATCATAATAGTAAGTTATATGGGCATTGCACGTGAGAGCTCAGATAATCAAAGTATGACCAAAGATTGAAAATTTTGAGGCACATGCATGAAGTATAAGATGCAGGTTTAATTCTCCCAGTCCACTCAATCAAAACACAAAACTCAGGTAAAATACATCAAGCACATTACCCAGGAGGTGTCTCTTGTACTGCAATTTTTATTAGAAAATAATGAGAACATCTAGTGCTGCATCTGCAAAGTAAATGAGGTTTATGAAGGTACATCCATAGCCTTGAACACAAAGTAAAAATTCTGTTCGAAAAAAGCTGGGAGTCTAGAACAATGTAGAAGTGTGTTCTCTGAGGTTTGTGCATAACATCTAAGCCCAATCATAGAACCTTATGGACACTACACATGGTAGAATCGGATGTAGTGAAGAGAAAATCCAATGGCCTGCACAAGTCGGGTTTGCCACCTCTGTACCATCGGATCGGCTTCATCCAACTGCCGATATACAAAGTTTTTCGTATGCTATATAGAGGTGTAGATATAGATATATTTTGGTTTGACTGGGAAACATAATATCGTAGTTGTCCATTCGTCTATGTGCTGCTGCTCTTTTCAAGTTTGTTCCTAAAAGTAAGCAGTTTTTGCGGCATGAAATTGTTCCTTGAGGGTTTGAGAAGCCTGTGGCTGAACTCTCTAGATAAGATATATAGTTTTCTCTTTGCCAATTTTGTATGTTGTGTGCATTCAATACTTATGTTTTTTCTGCAGGAGTCTGGCAAGCTGGTTGTAGAGGAATACCGTCTGCCGGAAGTTAAAGCAAATACACCACTGTATTTTGATTTTTCGGATTTGCAGCAAGATGCCCGTTGTGTTATCTTTAGATTACTTGGAGATGTCACTGCCTTTGTTGATGATATTGCTGAGATTGATGGCTTAAGCTTGCGGAATCTTCCTCTGGCTTCTGGATTGTCTTTGTCAAATAAGATCAAGCTGTACTACTACGCTGATACCTATGAGATGGGAAAGATCGGCAGTCTCTCGGCAGTATGATATATACAAGGTGTGAGTATATGACAACCTCGCATTTTTATTGTTGTTATATATTATAAGCAGTCATTTCTTTCCTCTACTGTCTAACTCCCTATATACTTCCATTGTACACAAAATTAACCAAGTATGGAACGTTTTTATTTTGTTGAATCTGCTCTATTACTTTTATTGTAGGAACATTTTTTATTTTGTTGGTGCATGATGCATACACAAATTCAGCAGGTCATATTTTTGTGTCGAATGCTTGCATTCTTCAGTCTAGTGCATGTTCTTTCTTCTCGTGCATAGTGAATACTTTTTCTAATGTTTCATTTACCTATTTATAGGTTGTACATGCCATGATGAAGTGATTCACGGTTGGTACATATTGGTGTTGTAAACTAGCGTTATTCCTTTGTGTCGGTGTGGTAGGCGATAACTACAGCAGTGCAGTGCAGTGCAGTGCAGCACGATACCACAACCAAAACCCACAAGGACTTGAGAACGTTCTGTTTGTGCGATACAAGTTGAGGACCCTGGGGATATTAACTATAGTATTTCTTTCTTTATTTTTTTCGTTTGTAGAATGTCGGTAAATCGAAGATCCATTTGCTTTTGTAGGATGTTTGAAAATTCAATGTGATTGCCACACTTTTTGATGCTGCCAGTTACAATTTGTGGACGCGTGTATGAAATCTGTGAAGGATCAAGTGCTGAATTTTGTACGAGGTTTTCTTTACTGACAAACATTTTGAGCACTGATTTTTTCCAGTTACAAGTTCACTTGTTTGTTGCACTTAATTTGAACAACATCTGAGGCTAAGAGGTGGGCCAATATTTCAGTGTCACATTGGGGGTATTCAATTTATAGTATGTTAATGTTTTTCTGCTATGGCCAATAAGTAATCTTTGAAAGTTGGAGCAAATAAATGTCTTGAATCCCATTCACATGTGAACATTCCAAACTTTAATATTTTTGTTTGCTCTAGTAAAACCCTAAAGGTCAAACGAAAATCTACTTATAGGATATCGACAATTTATTTATTTTTTGTTTGTAGAATGTCGGTAAATCAAAGATCGATTTGCTTTCGTAGGATGTTTGAAATTCAATGTGATTGCCGCGCTTTAATTAGATGCCGCGAGTTACAATTTGTCAATGCATGTATGAAATTTGTATAGGATCAAGTGGTCAATTTTGTATGAGGCTTTGCTTATCAATAACAAATATTTTGAGTACTGAATTGTTTCTATTACAAGTTTACTTGTACGTCGAACTTTGTTGTGATTCTGTCAATTTGTCCGTAACTTGAACACCTGAGGCTGAGAGGTGGGCAAAATATATCACCGATACATTGATGGTAGCTAACTCTAGTGTAAACTGATTTTTCCTCTATATATTGCTGGGGGTAATTTGCATGGGTGTTTCTTAAAGAAATCTTAGAAAGTTGGATCAAATAACTCATATCGAATCCATTCACATGTGAAAATATGAAACAACATAATATATTTGTTTGCTCTAATAAAACCTTAGAGATTAAATGGAAAATCTTTTTAGTATACATAAGCAAAATTGTTTGGCTCCCCAAGGGGATTGACAAGACAATGAGCTGTGAAGTCATGGCAGATTTGTTGATTGGGAATAGAACAAATGGGGAAGATCATGATTTCTCGTTTTTGTTTCCTTCTCCCTGTCCACATCATCATCGGCTGAATCGGCTAATCCCATGCTTTCCTCTGAGCACGCCCATCCCCATCATCATTGTCCGAATTAGCCAATTCCCTGTTTTCCTCCGAGCACGGCGTGCTCCCGTCGAGAGATGGGTTCTGTGGGTTTTGGGGTTTGGAGTGCGGCTGCACCCCCTCGATGGTAGCTAGGGATTGGCTTATTCTGATGGCATCAGTATTTACGGCTAAAAAAGGATGGAAGATGCACAATTTTTGAGAGCTACCGTCATGTTCTGTTTTTGAGAGAAACAGTCTTTCAGTACTTTAGAACTTCCAGATGCCTCTTATATGACCTCGGATTAAGACGATTTTGATACCAGAGGGGACCCACCAGGTGCCCACGAGGCACATGGGCGCGACCACCCCCTGGCCGCACCCATGTGGCTTGTGGGGCCCCTGGCTGGCCTCCGAGGCCCATCTTCTCCTATATGAAGCCATTTGTCCTAGAAAAAAAAATCAAGAGAGAAATTCCGGGACGAAGCGCCGCCGTCTCGAGGTGGAATCTGGACAGGAGCACTTTTGCTCTCCGGTAGAGCGATTCCGCCGGGGAAACTTCCCTTCGGGAGGGGGCCATCAACGTCACCAATGATCCTCTCATCGTGGGAGGACGAATCTTCATCAACATCTTCACCAGCACCATCTCATCTCAAACCCTAGTTCATCTTTTGTATTCAATCTTTGTCTCAAAACCTCAGATTGGTACCTATGGGTTGCTAGTAATGTTGATTACATCTTATAGTTGATACTAGTTGATATATTTGATGGAAGATTATATGTTCATATCCTTAATGCTATTCAACACCTCTCTGATTTTGAACATGAATATGGTTTGTGGGTAATTATGTGAATTTAGTATTCGTTTGATATTTTGATGATATGTATGTTGTTGCTTCTCTTAGTGGTGTCATATGAACGTCGACTACATGACACTTCACCATCTTTGGGCCTAAGGGAAGGCATTGTGGAGTAGTAATTAATTAGATGAAGGGTTGCTAGAGTGACAAAAGTTTAAATCCTAGTTTATGCGCTAGTCCGTAAGGGGCTGATTTGGATCCATGTGTCCTCAAGAACGCTCTGCTTACTATAAGAGAACGTTCCGACCTGTCCTTTGCCATAAGAAGGATTAGGCTATCTTGCTGCACCTATTATTACTTTTGCTACTTGTTTCATGTTACGAATTACCTTGCTACCAAACTATCTGTTACCGATAATTTCAGTGCTTCAGACAACACCTTGCTGTAAATCGCTTGTCATTTTCTTCCGTTTCTTGTTGGATTTGACACTCTTACTTATCGAAAGGACTACGATATCGCCTATACTTGTGGGTCATCACTCCCCTGCGTCGAGCCATCCAAATTTCACACATCCACATGTTTCATTGCCTTGCTCAACACATCCTCATCGTCGTTCATATCTTTCTCCTTGCATCAATGGTCTTTTGCAGGGGCGACATGCATCTTCCTATTGTCGTTTTCGATATGTCAGTGTCTGACAAAATAGCCGGATATATGTGCTACTGAGACATAAGAAACTTCTAAAAATAACACTTCTCCTACTATTGAAATCTCGTCCAATGTGCCACATGAACATGTTGCATTGGGAATTGTCGATTTATCGACAGGGATTGGTGAAACCTTCCTCTCCCAAGGGGTTTGCGGACGCCAACATGGACTCAGACAACATGCAGAAGCAGCTGCAGTCGAAGAAATTCGACCAGGAGGCGCGCAAGCTGTGGTTCTGGATGGGCAACGAGGTGGTGCAGGAGCTCCAGGAGAAGGGATTCGACGTCGAATGAAGGCCAGTTTTATTCCCATGAAAGAAATGCGGGGAGACATCGGCTCGTTTAAGTGTTTTGCATTGATAAATGTAGAAGAAACATTCCCTGGGATAAAGTTAGATGCCTACAAGTTCAGTGTATGCCCTTTTTCTCGGCGGAGATTAAGTAATTCCGGTTGCATCCAGGCTTGTATTCCTTTCCCCTGTCTTTGTTTGGAATTAAATAAGTTGTTTTCCATGATGAAGCAATTAATCATATATATTGAGACGCCGATTTAATAGTTTAATTTGTACTTTGCCGATAAATCAAGACAGCTGGAGTATTAGGGACAGGGTCCTGGTGATTAAAGCATAGGCAGCAGCGTGCCATCAGATTAAAACAGATATGAGATTCTCTAAGCATATGTGGAATGTCGTTGTCATGAGGCGCAGTGGAAGCATAATAAAGATGAATGCATTCATCCTTTTTTTTCTTTAAACTGTCTGCTGAGCTCACAAATGCTTGCATCTGTCTAGTGTCCCACTTCATATTTAAATATAAGTACTTCGTACATTATCAAAGTGTCATAGATGCGTCTAATCTGAAATAAAGTTCACCAGAAACACAAACCACCCTAAACATAATAACAAAAATACGTCAAATTTTTAAGGGCAAGTGCCGCAAGTGGCACGCAGAATATCGGTTGACAAATGAGATTTGGACCAAGCACGGCACGACGACGCGAGCATTATTTTCTTCCACGCCAATCCTTTTCATTCAGTTACGTCGGAATTGACAATGGGGAAGTGGTTGGGGGATCAAAGATAGTTTAGCTGGCGGATTTCCGCTGAGAAAGCGAGGACTGTTGAGTTGGCAGATTTATTAGTGATGACAGGGAGTGGCCATTAGGCTGGTTGTAATGAGAAGTATCACATACTAGTATCATGCATATGATACTAGTGCATCTTTGTTTCCACACAAAACACATTTCGTGCGTGTCGAGCGCACATGCATGCTTGCCATCTTTGTTTCCTTATTTTGAATTACTATTTACTGGTAACCGTGTACGTGCATGTCCAGTTTGACAGTAATTTTATTTTCAAGATTAATAGGAAAGATTCCGATGTTTATTGTGTTTAATGATGCAATTAATGCTCCTTTTCTAAATTATGGTTTATGCAGTTAACATGTTTCCAATTTATTGATGATGTGACGGATACACCATTAGAGCAGCATGAGACATTGGATATAGGTGGTTGGATGGCTCAGATCATTTGGATTCATCAAACTCATGCTTTTATAAGTAGTATATACTCCCTCCGTAACTTGATATAAGATGATTTTGGACACTATCTCAGTGTTAAAAAAAAGTATTATACTAGGTTTCAGAGATAGTAGAAACTTTCTCCGATCCAAATTAATTGACGCTGCTTTAGTACATTGAATTTTGGATCGGAGAGTAGTAGTAGATTTCCCCCCACTTTTTGTAGAATTTTGTACCCCCTCCGTTTGTAAATACAAGTCTTTTAGAGATTTCAAT